TTTCTCTCTCTACCCCTTCTACTGTAAATCAATATTGCTTTTAGTTTATTATTTTCCTAGGAAAAAGCAGTTCTAGTGGTTTTCACTTGACTTTTCCTGCCATATTAGCCATCACCCCACAGATAATGGAACCAATGTGGAGATTCAGTCAGTTGCTGAGTATGTCTGTTCCAAATATGTACTCTGGAATTGGGATATAACCACAGTGTGGTTTGAGGAACCATGGGCCCACTGTGAGACAAACCTGAACTAAAACTTTATTGACCACTGTATTAGCATTCTCTATAGGAACAGAATCAACAGGAAGTATAATTATAAAAAAGGATTTATTAGGTTATCTTATGCCACCAGAAGCTGGATAGTCCACAATGGCCATCTGCAGGCTGGAGAGCTGGAAGAACCAGTAGCTACACAGTCCACAGGCTGAGCCCCAGAACAATTACTGACAGAGTCCACTTTGGAAGAGTGAAGAAAATAGAGTCCTATATCCTCAGATGTTCATAGCAGCAGTCAAAAACCAGTTTCAGAAGAATTGAGCTTGCATCTGCTGCTGCTTCCTTGTTCTTCCAACTTTTATTCCATCCAAGCCATCATCCTATTGGTTGGTGCTGCCCACATTTAGGGACGGTCTCCATTTCAGTTGGTTATACCACATGTCAATCCTTCCTAGACCCATCCTCACTGACACACCCATAAATCCCTTAATCTTCAGCATCTCTTAATCCAAATATCTGCCCCCTTGTCAACTTGATATCCAAATATGACTCTTTACATCACACTTAATCTCCAAATAAATACAACAAGGTTATAATTCCACCTAACATAACTATCCTTCCTACAACCGAATATACTAGTTCTTTCCCCAGAATAGAAGAATAAACAAAAACACTACTAATGTTAAGTCAATCAGTATTACTTTACAGAATGAATAACAGGAGAGTAACAATTATTTCCTCTTAATGCATTTGTTAAGTATGCCCAAACATATTCTTAGTGGAATAGGGAAGAATTATCAATGGCAATTACAATCCTCATTTCTGTAACTGGTCATGTGGCCATAGTTGGTATTTATGACTACATTCTTCTACTACCCATTCTGTATTTCCTCTACCTTCAACAACTACCTCAGTGGTCATGGTTCTTTACCTAGAGGAGTGACCCACACCTTCATTCCTAAAGGGTCTAAGACATTTGTCATCTTGTCTGGATTGGGTTGTTGTAGTTTCCCATTGATCTTAATAAGGGGACAGAGCAATACCAAGAGACACCCTAAGGGATCTCCTGTACTCCAGGAGTATGCTTCCTTATCTCCATTGTGGAGTAACAGTCCAATGTCCCCTTGATAATCTGGATCAATCATCCCCACCAGTACCATAACTCCTTTCATAGTCTGTTGACTCAGAGGCATGAGGAGCCCAAGTGTCCATGGTGAAGTCTTAACTTCCAGTTTAATGAAATCATTGTTGTATCTCCAGGCAGAATCATTTCTCCTGAAAGTAAGACTTCTAAGCCTATACAACATAAGGTTGCAGGGAAGAAGCAAAAGCTTTCCTTGTGGGTTATTAGGAGTAATGATGAATGAGTAGTACCATTCCTGTCTCACCCCTTGATTCCTGGACCTGTGAATTCTAGCAATAGGAGAGATAGTAACATATAATGGATGCTGATTCAGAGTGTTCTGAAGGTTCTGAAGAACCTTGCCCTAGCCTGCAATGTATTACCACCTAACTGGTGCTGTAACTACAACTTCAAGAGTCCGTTCCTTCATTCTTTGAAACCAGCTGCTTCAGGATGGTGGGGATTATGGTAAGACCAGTGAATCCCATGAGCATGAGCCCATTGCCTTACTTCTTTGGCTGTGAAGTGAGTTCCTTGGTCCAAAGCAATGCTGTACAGAATTGCTATACCAGCCACATGTACTTAGGCATGAATGGCTTGATCTTTGAGTCAAGCATATGCTACTGGCATGAAGAACCAGGTAGTATGATTATAAAAAGGGATTTATTAGGTTGGCTTATGTGACCAGAAGCTGGATAGTCCACAGTGGCCATCTGCAGGCTGGAGAGCTGGAAGAACCAGTAGCTGCACAGTCCAAGAGGCCAAAGCCTAGAATAGGAGGGATCAATAGTGTAATCCTAGTCTAAGACTGAAGGCTTCTGGAGAATCACTGGCAGAGTCCACTTTGGAAGAGTGAAGAAGCTAGAGTCCCATATCCTCAGATGATCACAGCAGCAGTCAAAAACCCGTTCCAGAAGAATTGAGCTTGCATCTGCTGCTGCTTCCTTGTTCTTCCAACTTTTATTTCATCCAAGCCATCATCCTATTGGTTGGTGCTGCCCATGCTTAGGGAGGGTCTCCGTTTTGGTTGGCTCTCTCACATGTCAGTCATTCTCTGACATACCCATAAACTCCTTAATCCTCATCATCTCTTAATCCTATCAAGTTGACCACTACAACTACTGACTTTCCTACTCTTGACTAGTGGACTATAGTAATATTTTGTGTCTCCTGGAATTTCAGAGCCAGTGCTCAGTCGTCCCCCAAAGGTTGGATCATTTCCTTTTCCCCAAAGCACAGTTACCCTCGTAAAAGGTCTTAGGTTCATTTGGAGGAGGCAGGGAGGAAAAATAATAGTATAAACTTTGGGCAGTATAGTGGGGTCCTTCCTTACCTGGACCCACCCTTCTTTTTATTCAAGATGCTCTAGGTCTGTAAACTAATACAAGTCTATTGATGGGTCCTGATTCTGTTCTTATGGTTCAAGTTAGATTTTGGACCACTTGACTTAGACTCTTCTACTTATATAGAAGAAGTGGGAATTTAGTCGATATCCCATCTATTTCACTTCTAAGTACCACCATGATCAACTAGCAAACACTATAGGTCTCAGTCAGAGACCTACTCTGTCAGATTAGGCCTACCTTGCATTTGGTGAGTGTCTCCACCTTGCTCCTACCACTTCAGGATCCAACTGCCACCATTGCATTTAGGTTCCCGAATTCAGTAGCAGCAGTTCCCACTGTCAGGTCTGGCCTACAGAGAAGAGTGATCAGAGCAGGGAAGGAAGCTGGGCTCCTCTCACAAATTTATTTCTCACAGTCATAGTGAAAGGTCTCTTCTGGCACTTCCCAAGACTGGTAAGTAGGTCTTAAATGACAAATCCATTTGAACATTCCAGTCTCCCTAAGCCTTTGGATACCTTCCCTTATATACTAATGCAGGTTAGGTATTTCAGCTTCACATAGCATAGGCCATTTGGGGTTCATATTTCAGCCAAGCAACCAAACCATTAGAAACCTAAGAGAGATGGTGATGGTAAATCAGGTCTGTTGTAAGACAGCTACCTCAGGGGATATCATTACCTTCCCCTGAGGCAAAGTAGGGTTAATTTTAAATCTCAATGTAGTGGCTGCTTCTATTTGCAGAGACTCATGAGAAGTTAGGAGTTCAGTGTCCTAGTCTTCATTAAGATCTTCCCATATGACTCTTATTCCAATTTCTAGAATCCCATTCTTTCAGTCAGCACTCTAACAGAAGATACCCTGATTAATTGGGAATTAAATATGCATTGTGATTTATCCACTCACAGGATGAGATTCCAAGTTTAGTTTTCAGCAATCTCAGTTCTGCATCTATAGAGGGTATGGGTTTCTTCTAGGGTGAATATAGATAATTTGGGGTTATTTATATGGTACTTAAACTGGGGATTGAAATTTCTGAGCTCGTTTTTTTTTCTTTCTTTCTCTATTTGGTCCAGCACAATTAGTATAAGTCAGCCAATCTCATTACACACTCATTGTTTTGACAAAAAATATTCAAAATTATATACATGGTCACCCTTGTACATATTTGATTAGAAGTATTCAGTGGTAGTATTTTATATATCACTGTGAACTATTCACTGCTATCTTTACTACTGGAAATAGAGTTATTAACACCTTTAACTCTAATCATATTAAAGAAATGATTCCAGAAACCTCAAAAACCAATTGAGAAGACTCATCCTTAAAATTCTCTTCTAGAACCTATCAGTGCTAAAATCTGAATTTTGGTTCTCTGGAATTACAGGACCAATAGAATGTGTGTTGGTGGGAAGGGTTATGGAAGTAGAGATATTTGAGTAAAGGGAAGAAAGAAGAGTGATTTATTTTAAGGAGTTAGCTCACTCGATTTTAGAGACTGTCCTTGGAAAAGTTGATGTTGTACTTAAGATTGTTGAAGGCATTCTGTAGGTAGAGCTCTATTTTTCTCAGTAGTGAAACTTTTTCTTTTACATTATGGAGGGCAATTTGCTTTACTCAAAGTCAACTTATTTAAAACTTAACCTCTTAAAAAATATCATCACAACAACATCTGGACTGACATTTGACCAAATACCTGGGTACTGCAGCCTAGTCACATTGACACAAAAATTAACCATCATACACTTGCTCCCAATTCATCCACTCATGGGAAAATGGTATAACAATTTTTTCCAATGTACATATGGGCATATATACATAGAAATATATCCAAGATTGGTAGATGTTTGTGTGGGGGGGGTTATATCTATATGTTGAAATACATACAGTGCATACATATGTAAATAATATATATGAATAGACATTTGAGAGAAATGTATATCAAAAGGTTAAATATTTTGATTTACAAAATCTTGATATGGGTATAACTCTTGAAATGCCCAGATTTAATGATTTGGAGTGTTAGATATTTTTTAAGATTCCTCTATATAAAAATTTTATTTTCTAATACAGTGCTCTCAATGTGTATAGAGCACACACAGTATAAGTCTAAATAATTCTAGTAACCAGTAGCACTTTTACACTTGTCCTGAGATAATTTCTGCCATTCTAGTTTGTGAAATAAGGTACATATTCCAAATTCCTCTTAAGGAGCAAAAGCTTTTGATTAAAACATGTTGAAATAATTACATCTTAGATTTTGCAATCAAAGAGGAGAACTGTTATATGCTGATCAGTATGTTGGACTGTTTAATTCAGATTTTTAAAGAGCGAGAAGAAGATCTGAGGCGTTTGTCTCGCCCGTTGGAATGTTCTTGTTTCCGAACATCTATCTGGGATGAAACTCTCTATAAGGTGTGTATGTTTCCTGGGTTCTCTCATTTTAAGAGCATGAAAAAGAGCTAGAAGAATATTAACAAAATTGAAATATTTTAAACAATTTCATAGCCATCTTGATTTGTTGTACTAAAAAATGAAATAATCTGCAACAAATTGAAGAATACCAAACTTAACAGATTTTGGTTTTAATCCTACATTGGGTCGACATTGTTACCAAATCATATTGAATTAGCCAGTTTGGGTATGATTAATTTGATACTGACTTTGTGAAAGCAGAAACTTTACTCACTGGCCATCATATATTTTGAACTGTCATGGTCTCAATTCTAACTGGAGTTGTATCTTGTATACAGGTACCTCTATATGATATAAACTAGTTTACCTAAGTTTGGGTAGTAGTAGAAGAAAAATACTTAGTGGAGAGACTGGAGAAGGGAATCTTAGGATGAGACATATTATTCCTAGAGTATAGTAGCTTCAACTTTCATGCCAGATTGGAGACCAACATTCTTTCAACCAGGATTGTTCCCCTTGATGGAATGGATACCACACTGCTTGAAGTAATTATAGAGATTATAACAATAATTCTGTACGGATGAAGCTGAAATTACCTATTGGCACATAGGCTCCTGCTTCCTCCCTTTTTTCTACTGAGTGATTTAAGGACTATCTCCTTTTGGATCCTCCTGTGGTCAGACCTTTCCTTCAGACTGCTTCTGGTATCCATTGACAAGTCTGACTCTGAGTGGCAAAGGATCCTTCTCTGTCATTGATAGCTAGAGCCTCAGTATCAACTGCATCTGACAAGTGTCTACAACCAGAAGCACAGAAACCTGACTTGCCAAGGAGAAAAGCCATTGGACTTTAAAAATAGCCATTTTTTTAAACTAATTCACTTTTTTCCCCAATATTATGTTGACCCAGCCTCACTCTAATAACATCATTTTGAGATACCTGTCTAGGAAGTACTGTTCTAGATTAATATGGGCCGAATTTCTCTCAAAGCCTTATTCCCATAGAACAGGTAACCGTGAATAAGGATGGACATGACGCACTGATAAGAACCAACTGCGGTGTGAAGGATGGCAATACATAACACGACCAAAGACAATTGGCTAATCACAACACTGCTGTGAGTGACAATGTCTCTGCTGTGGTTAGCTTTGGTGCCTTCTCCAAGGTAAATTCAGCAGTGACATTAACACCGACCTGGGAATTTGGAACCTGAATCCCTATGCCTAAGTAATAAAACTAAATGGATCAGAGACATGGCACTACTATCTCTTACATCAATGTTGCATAGAACTGACTTAAATTTTTATATTAAGTTTTATTCAACAAGCGCTCATTGCCTATCTACTTGATGCTGTTGCATACCCAGATGACTAAGATCAGATTCCTGCCGTCTAGTAGGGGAGAGAAGAAGAAAATACACCTAACCAGACAAATTGGAGTGAAAGTAAAGGAAGTATTATAATGGAAATACAAATAAAAGGGCCTTAAGAGACTAGAGGGAGGGTGTGGATAATTTCAACTGCTTATATTAGTCATACTCCTGGATGAAGTCAGTTTTAGGCAAACACAACGGACCTTTTGAAATTCTGTTGGATCAATAATTTTACACATGACAACAACCTTTGGGAATGATAATACCTCTGGTTCTCTTGTAATGGTATATTACACCACTGAGGGGAGGAGCCATTTGTCCATGTGGCTCTGATATTTTCACAAAATTGATTCTTGGATATATGTTTTATATAGCATTATTAGGTTCTTTAAAGAAATTTGCACTGTTGGATTTAAATATTTGTCGAAGGTCTAGATTAGAAGCTTTTTAACACAGTAGGTCATATTTTGCTACTTTTTTTTCCTAAGGCAACATAATGGCATTAAATCACCTGTTTAATTTTAATTATCAATGGAAAGAAGTTTCTCCAGCATTTCAAAAAAGTGTTTGAACTTAAAACTATTCAATTCAAGGATAAAAATCAAATATAGCTTCATTTTCTCATTTCATTTGTGTTATATTTAATGTCAGTATTTGTTTGGGATTCAATTGTCATCATGTTTTGCTGTTTATATGTGATGGTTTATAGTTTATTTACTCTTTTCAAAGGTCTGGGACTGGCTAACTGTTAGTAATATTACATTATGCTTCTGTTCTGTTAGGCTTGGTCCAGCATTGTTTATCAACTGATTCCCAATGTTCAGCAGCTGGAAATGAACTTAAGGAATTTTGCTGAAATTATTGAGGCTGATGAAGTACTTCTGTTTGAGAGAGCTACTTTTCTGGTAAGAACTTTTTGTTCTGAGGATATATTTCACACAGTACCTTCTATTCAGGAACAGAGAATAGCATGTTTCCCTTTTAGGAAGAACCTTTTTCTCTTGTCTCATTACTTCAGCATACTCAGCCCTATTTATAAAGTAATATTGTTGACAAGTGATTCTGAAAGAAGTCCTTTGGTGTTTAGCTCCTTTGTAACTAGTAAACCATAGGTTTTTGTAGGTATACCCTATTAGAGGGTTTAGATTATTTCTGCTAATAACTATTTATTTGTGATGAAGTATTCCTATTTTCTCTTGAATTTTATTATGAAATTTATTGTATTGTCCTTTTGAGATAACTCTCTTCCCTCCCTTTTCTCCAAAAGGCTAAGGTGAAAACTGGAAGAGAAGTAAGGGTCAACTCAGTGATATAGCTAAGAGCAGATGGAGAATTAAAGGGGAAAAGATGCATGTTGGTACTGTTACTTTTTGTATATATTGAACTTAGCAACTATATTAGACCCTACTGTTTTTTTTTATAGCTCTGAATAGAGGATGCAAAAGCTAGTATTATCTTTATAAATAAAATGTTTAAATACCAGTGATAGAAAATGATGTCCCAACACACTGCATAAAAAAGTAATTGTTAACTAGCTTAGGAAATGTAACTCTTAAGAGCAGCTCCCAGTAAATAATTTGTTTCTGAGTTCTACCACTGCTTGGTAATTTTAGACATTTCTTAATCTCTCTGAGCTTGTTTCCCCTTTTTTAAAATGGAGATAATACTATCTGTATCATAGGTTTATCATGTTCATTAAAATGGGGCATAGTAACATTAAGCATCTATCACAAGCTTTGACATAGGTGAACTATTAAATGTTGGTTCCCTTTGCTGCTGTGTCAACTGAGGGCAGAAAATATAAAGTACAATTCCTCTTTTCCTTTGTAGAAATATTACTTATAGCCATAGCAGCACTGTGGAGCCATTCTTCCTGTTAGCTGATATAGCTGAGGCAAAGAGTTGTAACTAGAGTGACTTTCTGCCTCAGTCCAGTGGCATGTGTTATGTGCCTGAAATTACTTCTCCGAACCAGTTTTTTTTCCTGCTAGTGTGAATGGCAACAAGCAAGTAAACTATTCCATCTGTCTCAGTGTGCATGGCACAACAGGACTCTGCTTCAGCAGTATTAGCATGCTATATCTACTACACAAGGTCTTAGAAGATAATGTTAGTAAGCTCTCTATTATTCACTGACAGTAATAGGTAGCTTTTGTTTCTCTTGATGACCAAGTTTAAATGTGTTTGGGCTGGGGATGTGGCTCAGTGCTAGAGCACTTGCTTAGCATGTATGAGGCACTGGGTTCGGTTCTCATCACCACATATAAACAAATAAAGGTCCATCAACAGTTAAAAAAAAAGTTTAAATGTAATTGACCATTTTTACTGAGGGGAGTAAGTCAAGCAATGTGCATCTGTCCTGCTCTTTATATACAAATTAAATGTTGAAAGTTTCATGTTACCTCAGGGTATTTCCCTGAGAATTTTATTTTGGCAATTGACTCAGTTTTGCTTCCTATTATAAACTTTGCATTTGGCCTGTAGGATACTTGTATGATTTACTAAAATCTCAAAGTGTTAGGAAAAGTATTTTCAGCTGGTGTTGGTGTTTATCCTGAATAGATTCATTTAAAAATAGTTCTCAATGGTTAGAATTATCTAGTTAAGCTTTTAAAATATAATTCCCAAAGCTACTTGATTATAGACTTCATTAAATTTAAATATAGTAATTAAACCTCAAGAGTTGTTATGTATTTATTTTCCTTGTTTTGTATGTTTTTAAAATCAAAAATCATCCTGTGAAACATTGAAATAAGGTGAATATTTAATGATTAAATGCTGATAATTAAAAATTAAATTAAAAATTGAGAATGAATATCAGTAAACCAAAATACAGATACTCCTTGACTTGGGATGGGTTTGTGTCCTGATAAACCCACCATAAGTTGAAAATGCATTTAATGTACCTAACGTACCAAACATCATAGCCTAGCAACACAAGTAACACTGAAAAGTATCTGTTGTTTACCCTTATAATGTATCTCATGGTTAACTGCGAGTTATGGCTCTCTGCTGCTGCCCAGCCTCACAAGAGTTTGTCAGTATCACATATCCTTAGTATGAGAAAATTTGAGATATTGTTTCTACTGAATTCTTATCGCTTTAACACCATTATAAAGTCAAAAATTGAACCATGATAAGTCAAAGACTATATGTAGAATACTTAAATGATCTAATAAAGTTATAACCAAACAATACTGAATAGACTATCTGGATGGATATTGAAATCACATGCAATCTTAACAAAGATATGATACAGACAGGAGAAGATGGTAAACCAGGTGGTCAAGAAACTAACAGATGTCTACTTCAAGTAGCAGCAGAGGGTTATATGAATATTTTGCATGGATTCAAAGAACAATGTTCATTTTCACAGGTGATTTCTCATTATCAATGTAAAGAGCAGCGTGATGCTCATAGATTTGAGAAAATCAGCAACATTATTAAGCAATTCAAGCTGAGCTGCAGGTAAGAGATCTTATAGGAATGATACATTAATTTCTGGGAAAATTATCATTTTTGAGAAATACAAATAACTATAGTTGTTGACTAAACTTCTATGTTCACAATGGTTGCTTTAATCAAAAAGAAAATTGAACTCTAAGGGAGCCTACAGTTGACTAAAATACAGATCCTTGTCCTTTCATGCAAACTCAACTAATCCAGAAGCATCTGAGAAATATTCAAGCAAAATACCCTTTCAACGTGTTTAGTATTATTTGGGAAGAAATAAACTGAGAATATCCAAGAGAGTTTTGAAAAGAAAGAAAGAATTTGCCGTACTAAATAACAGAATTGACTATAAAACAATAGTAAGTAAAATAGATACTGATTCAGAAATGATAACAGAAGAGAGTTTAGAAATGTCAAATTATGATGTATCTGGTTTGATTGAATAAGATTTGAGTCTTGGGTATTACAAATAGAGGGAAAATGAATGGCTAAATATCATAAATAAGTAAAGATTTAAAAATCAAATTCTTACCTGATAAAAACTTGGTGCTTGGAGAGTGGGGATCAATTTGCCCACTTTACATCTTATTATACTTTGAGACTTTCTAGAGTGTTTACGCTAACATTTTGAAGAAGAAATAGCAAATAACAAGCAAATATAGTTGCCTTGTTTGTTTTCAAAGAAATGGGGTAATTTCTTGAATATAAATGTAACATCAAACAGATATAAGTATTAATTGCCAAGATAGGGAAATTCCAAATAAGGATGCTTCTTAAATATTAAAGAAGTCATTTGTAACATGATTTTTCAACATAGATCTAGGTCTAAACCTATTTTCATTTCTCAGTCAATATGAAGTCCTAGCCTAATTTTCATTCCAGTCACTCTGAAACATGTTAAATTCAATTTTAGACTTTCCTTATAAACTCTCAAGGGATAAATTAAGGTATATTAATACTATAAAAATTTTTAACCTAAAAGATAAGAACTTCTTATATTGTTATTATTTTATTCCTTTCTTCTGTAGCAAGCTGGCTGCCTCTTTCCAGAGTATGGAAGTCAGAAACTCTAACTTTGCTGCTTTCATTGACATCTTTACATCTAACACTTATGTGATGGTTGTGATGTCTGATCCATCCATTCGTAAGTTTAAACTTAAGATTACATCATTTCAAATCTACATATTCTCTAAACAATTGCCCTAGAGGTATTATTGTACAAGATATTTTAAAATTATTTTACAGTGGGGTTGGTCATACAACAATATGAAAGTACTTAATTGCATTCAACCATACACTTAAAATGGTTAATGTGGCTGATATGTTGGCACATACCTGAAATCCCAGTGGCTCGGGAGGTTGAGGCAGGATCCTGAGTTCAAAACCAGCCTCAGCAAAAGCAAGGTGCTAAGCAATTCAGTGAGACCCTGTATCTAAATAAAGTACAAAAGAGGGCTGGATGTGGCTCAGTGGTTGAGTGCCTAAATTCAGTCCCTGGTACCCCTGCCAAAAAAAAATGGTTAACATTGTAAATTTCATGTCATGTATATTTTAACACACTGAAAAAAAAAAAAAACAAGTAACAGTGGTAGACACATTTTGAAGCTGAAAAACTATTTTGCCTCTAGGGTATTGTGTTTTTCTTCATGGGAACTTCAGAAAACAAGTTACTAAATCAAGGAATTTTAAAGAGAACTGAAATCCATGATTTATGCTTCATATGTATAGATTTTATTTGTTTATTGGTTCTTTTTAGTTATACATGATAGCAGAATCCATTTTGACATAATTATATAAGCATGGAATATATCTTATTCTAGTTAGGATCCCATTCTTACTGATGTACATGATAGTGATATTCACTGTGTTATTTTCATATATGTACATGGGAAAATTATGTCAGATTCATTCCTTTCCTTTTTCTATCCCTCCTCCCTTCCCTCCATTCTTCATTGTCTAATCTACTGAAATTCTTTTCTTCCCTTCACTTCCCCCCATTATTGTGGGTTAGCTTCCACATACCAGAGAAAACATTCAACCTTTAGCTTTGTGGGACTGGCTAATTGAATTTAGCATGAGAGTCTCCAGATCCATCCAGTTTTTGGCAAATGTCATAAAGCAATTCTTCTTTATGGCCGAGTAATATTCCATTATGTATATATACTACATCTTCTTTATTCATTCATCTGTTATAGGGCAACAAGGCTGGCTCTGTAGCTTAGCTATTGTGAATTGAGCTGCTATAAATAGTGATGTGGCTGTATCAATGTAGTATGCTGATTTTAAATTCTTTGAATATGTAATGAGGAATGGGTCAAATGGTGGTTTCATTCCAAGTTTTCTGAGGAATCTCCATATTGCCTTCCAGAGTGGTTGCACAAATTTTCAGTCTTACCAGCAATGTTCATCCATATCCTCAGCAACATTTATTTTTACTTGTATTCTTGATAGTTGCCATTCTGACTGGAATGAGATGAAATCTCAGTGTAGTTTTAATTTGCATTTCTCTAATTACTAGTGATGTTGCACATTTTTCATATATTTGTTGACCATCCGTATTTCTTCTGTAAAGTGTCTGTTTGGTTCCTTTGCCCATTTACTGATTGGGTTTTTTTTATGTTAAGTTTTTTTGAGTTGTTTATATATCCAGGAAATTAATGTTCTAACTGAGGTACAGGGGCAAAGAGTTTCTCCCATTCTGTAGGCTCTCATTTGTTTTCTTTGTTATAAAGAAGCTTTTTGTTTGATGCCATCCCGTTTAGATTATTGATTTTACTTCTGTGCTTTACGAGTCTTGTTAAAGAAGTCAGTTCCTGAGTTGATAAGTTGGAGTGTTGGGCCTTTATTTTTTCTATTATGTGCAGGGTCTCTGGTCTAGGTTCTTGATCCATTTTGAGGTGAGTTTTGTACAGGGTGAGAGATAGGGGTTAAATTTTATTCTACTATGTATGAATTTCCAGTTTTCCCAGCACCATTTGTTGAATAGGCTATTGTTTCTCCAATGTATGTTTTTGGTGCCTTTGTCTGGTATGAGGTAATTGAATTTTGGGGGATTTGTTTCTGCATCTTCTATTCTGTTCCATTATGGTCTTCATGTCTGTTTTGGTACGAATACCATATTGTTTTTGTTACTATATCTCTATAGAATAATTTTAGGTCGGGTATTATGATGCCTCCTAATTTGCTTTTCTCGCTAAGAGTTGCTTTGGCTATTCTGGGCTTCTTATTTTTCCAAAAGAATTTCATGACTGCTTTTTCTATTTCCATAAAGAATATCATTGAAATTTTGATGGGAATTGAATCTGTATAGTTCTTTCAGTAGTATGGCCATTTTGACAATATTCTGCCTATCCAAGAACATGGGAAGTCCTTCCACATTCTAAGGTCTTCTTAAATTTCTTTCTTTAGAGACTTTAGAGTTATGTTATAAATTTTTCAAAGGATGGTCCACATAACCTCTAAACTTTCAAATGCTGGACAATTTTATGTCATTGTATATTACTATGTGTTACATTCCCATCTTTCTGTTATGGGCATGAAGGGAAGTGTAATAGCCTTATCTATTTCAAACATTGAGATAAAGCTTTCTGTAATATTTCTAGAAATTTAAATTATCTATTACCTACTGGCTTTTCCTACATTAAGCTAATATTAAAACATAAAATAATGGGTTTTATTCTTTAGTCCCAAACCAAAATTTTAGAAATTTTGTGTTTAGAATATGAGCCAATCTTCAGAAAAATTAAACCTTGATAACTTGGAAGTTCCTTTTACTATATGTTCTCTGTGACATACATTGAAGGATTTGGCTCTCTTTTGTCTGTTTTGTTTTTACTAGTGTTTACTAGTTAAACACTCCTTTGGCTCCCCATATTTATTCTGTTGTGTATCTCCCCACTCCTACCCTCAGCTTCTGCAGCTACTCTGATCAACATCCGCAATGCCAGGAAACATTTTGAAAAGCTGGAAAGAGTGGACGGACCAAAGCAGTGTCTTCTCATGCGCTAAACATTGCTGAATACTATTTCACACAAAAATTAAAACACTGTTTATTAATTAATCTTAATGTTGTATTAATATGTGTAGGCCCCGAAATGTTGTAATGTGTACCACTTCTGTATTCCTTCTCTATTCCCCAGTCTTAATGTTTAATCTTGAATGCTATTTACTCAAATAGCCAGTGAGGAGTTAGGTGAACTGTCTATGAAGTTGGTGTGACATAAAAGTAGTATATATGTAAGTGTTCTGATAACCTGGTTCTAATAGTGTTTAAGTGTCCTATAACCTGGTTCCAATAGTTGTGTATGCCAAAGCCTTTCCCAGCATCCTCTTGTATTCCGTATTAGATGGTAACCTATAAGTTTGAAATATTACTGTTTTCCTCAGCATGCATTAAAATATTCCTTAACTTCAACTGTAAATAAACTTTTGCTGTTAGGGATTTCAGTGTCTGGTTTTTTTTCCCTTGTTTCTTTACCTCTATCCTAAGAGCAAAGGAATTTCATACTTATCCTAGTGAAGGTGACAATGATGGATGGAAGAATGGAGCCAAATTTTAGCCTTAAAGCTAGACAGAAGAGTTTAGATATACAATATCTAAATGCATTCGGAACTAGGAAACCATTGTGGACAATTGAGCAGGAGAATTATGTGAAAGCAATTTTGAAAGAAAATTTGTCAAGATTATGTGGACTAACAACAGTTGGGGAAGATGTTAGTAATCTGAGTCCATAGTATCTGGATTGAAAGTCTGTTGCGGAATACAACTCAAGAAGGAATAAATAATAAGTGGAGGGGAAATAGATGAGGATTTAGGACATGAAATCTTTCTTCAAGGTCCAGCAGTGGTTAATTTTATATATTCCATAGCCCCTCTTGGGATTTAACTTCATTATTCTATAGTCAAACTTTATAAAACCTTTTATAAGATGGGAGTTTGTTATGGTTTGGATGTGAGGTGTCCCCCAAAAGCTCATATGTGAGACAATGCAAGATTCAGAGAAGAAATGATTGGGTTATGAGAGCCTTAACCCAATCAGTGAATTAATCACCTGATGGGATTGAGTGGTAACTGAAGGCTGGGGTATGGCTGGAGGAGGTTGGGCATGAAGGGCATGGCTTTGGTGTATGTATTTTGTATCTGTAGAGTGGAGTCTCTCTTTCTCTCTGCTTTTTGATCATCATGTGAGCTGCTTCTCTCCACTATACTCTTCCACCATGATGTCCTACCTCACCTTGAGCCCCAAGGAATGGAGCCTGCTCTCTATGGACTGAAACCTATGAAACTGTTAGCTCCCAAATGAACTTATCCTGCTCTATAATTGTGCTGGTTGGGTCTTTTAGTCAGAGTGGCAAAAAAGCTGACTAATACAGAAATTGATACCAAGAAGTGGTGTTGTTGCTGTGACTAACCTGACTGTGGTTCAAAGATTTTTGAGCTTTTGGAATTGTTGAGAGAAATTTTGAGATTTTTAGCAGTGCTAGCTGAAAATGCTTTAGGTTGTTGTAAGCAGAGCTAAATGGCAAATTCTGGTGGGAGCTCAGAAAATCAAAATGCCAGTAGGACTGTGGACAGTGAAAACAGTGCTCAAGAGGATCTATAGGAAAAGTTAATTGGACTAGAGGCCATTCATGTTATGTTCTGGCTGAGAAGTTGTCTGTATTTTGCCTGTGTCCTGAGACTTTTTTTTTTTTTTTTGAGGCTGACTTAAAAGTGATGGATTTCTTAATCTGGCAGAGAAATTTCTAGATAGCTTAGCATTCGGGCCATGGCATGGATATTGCTGACACCTTTTAGTCAAATTAATTGTGATATTCAGGAGAAGAAAGAGGAGCAGAAATATTTTAAAACTTGGACTGGAAAGGCAGGAGTAAAACTGTGGCTAAGGAATTTGCAGTTGTTAAAGACATTACTACCTCTAAAGAAATGCTAAAGACTTTTTCCAGAGACTAGAAGAAAGATGGCTTGAGGGCACCTCAGGAACTGGCAAGATCACACCCACCTCAGGCTCAAGGGAGTAAAAGTGAAAATTCTCTTGAGCCCAAAGGAGTAACCTTCTTGAGCAAGGGAACCTAGGAAGTTTCTTCAACATTCTCAACTACTCAGGCCCTCAGAGGCTTCTGGCCAAGGGTCCCAGAAGGCTTGGCTGTGGCTTGAGATGGCAGCAGACTTTGGCATCAAAAACACATGGTGCTGGTTCTGCAGGAATGCAGGAAGCTGGAGTTAGGGGTTCATGGAGGCTTCCACCAAGATTTCAAAGAAGGCCTGGGAGGCCAAGCAAAGTATAGGAGGGTCAGAGTTCGTGCAGGCAACCTCTGAGAGGGTGATACATGGAGATGTGAGGAGAAAACCAAAACTGCAGAGGAGACCCCGAAGTTTAAGAAATGCCAGTGCTATGGAATTCCCTCTAAGGAAGGCTGCAGGAATTGAGTGAAGTTAAGCCAACAGAAAGGCTACTTGGGCTGCAACTAATAAAGCCACAGGGGCAGAGATACCCAAGTACTTTAGAGAGGACATTAAGATGTACTCTAGATGCCAGACACAGAACACTAGAATTTATTTGCCCAGCTGAATTTCAGTCTCACTTTGGTCTTATCCCTTCTTTCTAATGCCCCTATTTTGCTGAATGGAAATGTTTACTCTGTATCATTATATATTGGATATTTGTAAATTGCTTTGAATTTTACAGGAGCTTACAATGTGAGATTGCCCTGAGCCTCAGAGAAGATTTTGGACTTGAACTTTGAGCAATCTCGGAACTGTTGACTATGGGGGCTCTTGGGAATGGATTAAATATATCTTACATTGTCAGGTAAGTGTGAACTTTTGGGGGCCGGAGATAGAATGTTATAGTTTGGATGTGAGGTATCACCCAAAAGCTTATATGTGAGACCTTGCAAGAAGATTCAGAGAATAAATGACAGGGCCACAAAAGACTTAATCCAGTCAGTGAATTGATCACCTGATGGGATTAATTGAGTGGGGATTGGAAGCTAGGGTATGGCTGGAGGAGGTGGGGCATTAGGGGCGTGGCTCTGGGGTATATATTTGTATCTGGTGAGTGGAGTCTCTGCTTTCTGAAAATCATGTGAGCTGCTTCCTTGTGCCACAGTCTTCCACCATGAGTCTGCCTCACTTTGAGCCCTGAGGAATAGAGCCTGCTGTCTGTGGCCTGAGACCTCTGAAACTGTGAGCCCCGCCCAAATAAACTTTTCCTCCTCTATAATTTTACTGATTGGATCTTTTAGTTACAATAATGAAAAGCTAATACAGAGTTTCATTTAACTTTAGTCCCCTAAAGAAAAAATGAAGTACTGTGGACTGCAAGAAATGGAGTGTGAGAACACTGACTACATTTACTTAAAGCCCTAACCAATTCAGTTTCCATTAATGAGATAACAAAACTATCTCTTTCTCTCTCTCTCTCTCTCTCTCTCTCTCTCTCTCTCACACACACACACACACATATGTACACACATACACAGGGAATCTATAGCACAGTAGACTCATTTCTCCTGTTATGTCATAAGAAAACTTCTTCATGACTACCAATCTCTCACCTTTCCCTTAGTTTATTATTTCCAATAGAAGGATAATTAGAGTTTTCACTGAGCAGCAAGGAACATGTTTTTCAGGTAGCCTACATTATATAGTCTAAGAATCTCAAGTCTTAAAAGAACTCATGGGACTAATTTTATCAATAGTTATGTTCATAAATTCTGCAGGAGAGTTTTAAGTAGATTTTCTAGATTCTTTAACCTCTTAGCATTTAAGAATATGAAAACAGCAAATGAATAGTGCTCTGTTCTGTGACTAATATGATTCATGATTTGGCATGTTCATATTATCTTTAGTATCCAGGGTGAGATTTAGAAGGAGCCACTTACGTCTTTTTTTTTTTAAGTTAGATGAATAGAAAAATCATAAACATATCATTTCCATATTTACCACTCCTTGCTCAGATTCTACTTATAACTTCGACTGGCGGATGTATTGCTAGGATGAAAGGCTAGAAAATAAGATCATGGTTTGACTTAATACTTATTTTTGCAATTGCCAGCTGACTTTCTTTGTCATTGAAGACAAAACATTTCAAGATATAAATCTGTTCAACACCACATAGAGACTGAAGTAAATGTAGGTAGGTAGTAAAGGCATGTGCATAGAAACATGGAGCCAAGAAACCAAAATTATGATTAGTGACACAATGAACTGGTTCTTTTTAATAGACCATGTTAGCCACGTGAGTAGTACAGGGCAGTGGTTCTCAAAACTGTAATAAGAATCACTTGGAGAGGGCTTTATTTAAACAGGTGCCATACCCTTACCCTAAGAGGCTTAGATCTTAGTAGTTCTGAGGCAGGCATTTCTATTAGGTCAGGTTCCTAAGTGATGCTGATGCTGATCCTACTGATCCAAAGACTATACTTCGGAAATCACTGTTTTAAGGGGAAAAGAAGAAAATGTAGATGTGGGAGTAGGTGTGAGAAAACATGTTCATCAGATAAGTTGAAGGTATATAATTATATCAAGAAAATTTTGTTTTATATTATTGGTTCTCAAAATGATCTAAAAATTTGAGATTGAGGAACATTGTTTTAAACAAAAGCAATAACTTGAAAGTTTGATTTCACAAGTAATATGTTGCAAATGAAAATTGTTGCTAGTATAAGGAGGATATGGATACTGATTTGTATAGCGACTTAGCTTTTTCCAATGTCACCCAGCTTTATCTGATGACTCAGTACAGTAACAAGAAAGTTGGGCAGGTTGCCAAATGAAAATAGTGTTTCCTTTAGTAGAGTTCTTACTCAGTCTCAGGTTATAAGTACATTATGAGGATTATATCATTTAATCAACACAAGAACCTCATTTTGCAAATGAGCAGACTGGGCTCCAGAAAGGATAAGAAATTTCCTTATAGTTATGCGATACTGGTGAAGCTGGGATTTGAACTCAGGTAATCTAACTCTAGAGCTTGTGCACTTAACCTGAAGTTATATGCTCTTCCTGAACTTCATAGCCTACTTAGGATGCAGTGGAGAATATGAGGTGCACTCAGGTGTGGTAGTTGACTGTGAGACTATCTCAGTGTTAACTACTATATGAATAGTGAAACAAACTTGCAAATAAATTTTAACTCCTGTTTTCACTGGGGGTCTGCCACATGCATTAGGAACTTTGCTACAATAGGCATTGCAAAGCAAAGTCATCAGGAAAAACAAAATAAAACAAACAAACAAAAATCTTAGCTTGAAGAATTTAGGTCAAATTTAATCAGTTTTTCAGTATTCACAGATTTTCCACCTGAATTGGGCTATTGTGAGGAATTATAGATGCTATTTCTCTAGAGCCCTTTAAAAAGAGCAGGGAGAAAGTGTTACTTTTTCAGGTATCCTATTACATTGCATTACAAAGTCAAGTTTATGATTTTCCACTTAGATTCCTAACCTTCCTTAAAAAGCAGGAAGGTAATCAGGACCTCCCAGTCTTTAGGCCTCACTAGTGAAATTGTTTGCCTCATTAATGTAGTAAAAAAATATTTTGTCCACTCCTGTTGTGTTTCTGATACTATTTTCAGAGTCCAGGATATAGGAGTGAATGAAACAGCTCATGGAGCCTGTATTCTAGTAAGAGGAGACAGACAAAAGCCAAGTAAGTAAACATACTATACATTAGAAGAGGTAAGTAATATAAAGAAAATTAAAACAGCAATAGAAGAAGGTGTTGGGGTAGGCTAGCCACCCATATATATCCACATTCTGATCCCTGGAACCTATGAACATGTTATGTTGTGAAGCAAGGAGAAATTATGATTGCAAATGGAATTAAGGCTACTAATAAGCTGTTCCTAAAGTAAGAAAATAATCCTGGATTATCCAAGTAGCCCAGCATAAAACAAGGGCCCTTTAAATATAGACAGGGAACTGGAGAGTCAATGTCAAAGTAACTCTGTGAGAAAAGTTCAACTCCTTGTTCATGGCTGTGAAGATAGAGGCAGAAAGCCATAAGCCAAGAAATGTGAATAGTCACTAGAAAATGAAAAAGGCAAGGAAATATCCATTCTCTTCTCCAGCCTCAGGAAGGAAACAGGCCTGCTGATGCCTGCATTTTAATCTAGTGAAATCCACATCAGACTTTAACCTCTAGAACTATAAGATAATAAATTAAGATTGTTTTAAACCATTAAATTTCTGGTAATTTATTAGAGCATCAATAGGAAACTGTACTAGGATTCTGCAGAGAAAGAAAGTCAATAGGATATGTATGTGTAAAGATTTATTATAAGGACTTGGCTCACATGATTGGAGGCTAAGAATTCCCAAGGTCTGCAGTTGAGAAGCTGGGAACCCACAGGAGCTAGTAGTGTTCCAATATGAGTCTAAAGACCTGAGAAGCAGGAAAACTGATGGTATAAGTTCCAGTCCAAACGTTGGTAGCTTCAAGACCCAAGAAGAGCCAGTAATTTTTTTTTTTTCACATCCGAAGGCAGGGAAATGCTGGCGTTTTAGCTTACAGCAGTCAGGCAGGAGGAGTTCCCTCTTATGAACAAGGTCACCCTTTCTGTTCTATGCGTGTCTTCAGCTGTTTGGATGAGGCCCACCCACATTAGGGAAGGCTATCTGCTTTTCTCAGTCTACCAATTAAAACATTATTCTCATCCATAAACACCCTCACAGACACACCTAAAATGATGTTTGAACAAATATCTGAGCACCTTGTGACCCAACCACATTGAAACATAAAATTAATCATCACAGAAACTTTTATTAAGGAGATCAGAGGTAGCTTCCATTATAGGATCAAATTTGAACAAATACTGGAATAAATAAGAGAAGGAGCCATGTATATATCCAGGGAAAATTTTCTAGGTAGAAGAGAGAGCAACTACAAGGCTCTAAGTTGGGAGAGTTTTGAAATATTAGAGGAGCAACAGCAAAGTCAGCCAGCATAACTAGACTGTAACCAAAAGTAGTGAGAGAAATAAGAGGTAAGGTGGAGTGATGAGGTAAAGAAGTAGTGGAAAGGAAAGACTGGGGCCCTTTAGCCAATTGTAAAGATGTTGATGTAGTTTCCAGTAAGATGGGAAAACCACTACAGAGTTTTAAGCAGTGGAATGATGTGATCAGACTTACTTTTTGAAAAAGATCAAAGCCAAAGAATAGAGTATTTGTAGATAAGAGTAAATGTTGGATGACCAGTGAGGAGGTTATTATGGTAATAAGTGAAAAATGATGATGATTTGGAAGCAGTGGAGATTATGAGAAGGGATAGGTTTCTGGCTAAGTTTCTAAGAGCCATCATATTTTCTTTTTGAAGAGTATAAAGAATCAGATAACACCAAGGTTTTGGGCTTAAGCAACTGGGTTAATAGAGGTGCCAGAGACTTGAGGATGCTGAGGGAGAACGTAGCTTGAGAAAGAGTTGGGAGTTTTGGTATCTCGCAGTAAGCTTGAGATGCCTATGAATACAATTGTGTCTGCATACTCAGTATTAATCTTGAATTCAGGAAGGATTGATTGAGCCTAGATATTCAAGTTTAGTTTAACATTGGATGAGAACAACTTAAGAGTGAGTACAGGTAGACAAAATAATTAGGCTGTTATTTTTAAAAGTATTTGAAAGCCAGCTATTGCAGGGAGGAAATGATTTGCCAAAGTATTATAATAAATGGCTGTAGTTGTGGAATTTTAGACCCCTGTAAGGAAAAATGTATTCTCATTTCTGTAAAAGTGTGAAGGGCAGTGTTTCCTTAAGTCTACTTTCAGCTCCATATATGTCTGTAATGCTGAATGCCTACAACAATAATCACAGCTAATATTTACAGATCTGTTAATATGTATCAGGCACAGGACCTAAATATTACTTACATATACTAATTTACTTAAATGTCATAGCAGCCCTATGAAGTAGGTAATGTTATCACCATTTTGCATGAAAAAATGGAATAATTTTCACAATAATCAAACTTCCCTAAAAACATTGTAAATGTATTTTATAATTTTCAAATATATATTTTTTGTTCTCAACAGTCTTGTGAGATGGATAGGGAAGGTAGTAGTACAATTTTATAGATAAGATCAATGAGTGACAGTGAGGTTGTAATATATCCAAAGTCACAAAGCTAGTGAAGAGTGTAGCTGGAACTCACACCCAATTCTACTGATTTCAAGCCAACTTTGTTTAATTTGCACTGTCCAATAGAATTTCCTGTGATGATAGAAATGTTCTATATCTGTTCTCTTCAATATGGTAGTCACTCAACACGTGGATATGCAACACTTGAAATGTGGCTAGTGAAACCAAGCAACTAATTGTTTGTCATTAAATTTGAATGTAGATATAGCCATTGTGACAAGTAAATAATATATTGGACTGTACAGCTTAAAAATATTTATAAATCATTAACAAAGTAAGATTATAGGAAATATTACTAGGGTATCCCTTTATCACTACATCAAAGATGGACCCTGATGACTTTTTCCATCTGTATCAAAAATAGTTAATCTTATAGTTAATCTTATATTATATTATTTCAAAATATAGAAAAAGATGGTATACTCTCCAGTTTGATGAGATAAAATAAAGTCTTTATCCTGAAACCCCAAAATAACTTCATAACAAATTAAAATTTTCAGGCTGATCATAATTTATGAATATTTGGCAAACCACATATTAAAAGGATTCAACACAATCATCAAATAAAATTATCAGCTTGAAATTGTTACAACAGAATGATTATTTGAATACATAAAATAATCTTTGGTATATAGAAAAAAAATGAAAACTAAAAGTACAATATATGATACACACAGAATTTATATAAACCACCAATGTTTACTCTAGCCCTATTAAGCATTTGCATGGCCTCCTCCCCTCAAGTCTAGAATGGTTCTAGCAACTTTCTTTTAACAAATACAATTTGGCAAAAATGACAGGATGTTACTTCTGAGATTAAGATACAAAAACTGACTTCTGCCTTGTTCTCTTTCTCACATGTTTATACTGAAGAACTGAGGGTGACTTCTGGTCAACAGCTAGGAAGAAACTGAGACCTCACAAAGTTGTCGAGTCCTTCCAACAACCACATGAGTGAGCTTGGAAGCAGATCCTTTCTTAGCATAGCTTTCAAATGAAACTACAGCCCCAGCCAACATCATGATTTCCAGCTTATAAGACACCTGAAGGCAGAGACATTCATCTGAGCCATAATTAGTTTCTTTACCTATAGAAACTGTGAGATAATAAATACTTATTGTTTTAAGCCCTTAAGTTTTAGTGTAACTTTTATTCAGCAATAAATAATGAATACTTATTTATTTATTTATTAAATGCATGACAACAGTGGAATGCATTACAATCCTTATTACACATATAGACCACAATTTTTCATATCTCTGTATATAAAATATGTTCATACCAACTTATGCCATTATATGTGTACTCTTTTTTGCATTACAATTTTTAATACACATATATACCACAATTTTTCATATCTCTGTTTGTATATAAGGTATGTTGGCCCCAAATTCAAATATTTGTACATGTATTTTGTATAATGATGACTATCACATTCCTACCATCCATGCTAATCCCCTTCTCCCTCCCTTTCCCTCCCACTCCTCTTCCCTATCTAGAATTAATCTAATCCTCCCATGCTCTCCCTCCCTACTCCTCTATTCTGTACCATTGGTCTACCAGTCTGTTTTGGTGCCAATACCATGCTGTTTTTGTTACAATTGCTCTGTAGTTTAGTTTAAGGTCTGGTATAGTGATACCACCTGTTTTACTCTTCCTGCTTAGAATTGCTTTAGCTATTCTGGGTCTCTTATTTTTCTAGATGAATTTCATGATTGCTTTCTCTATTTCTATGAGGAATGCCATTGGGATTTTGATCAGAATTGCATTAAATCTGAATAGTCCTTTTGGTAATATGGTCATTTTGATAATATTAATTCTGCCTATCCAAGAGCAAGGTAGATCTTTCCATCTTCTAAGGTCTTCTTTGATTTCTCTCTTTAGGATTCTGTAGTTTTCATTGTATAGATCCTCTTTTGTTAAGTTGATTCCCAAGTATCTTTTTTTTTTTTTGAGGATATTGTAAATGAGGTACATTTCCTCATTTCCCCTTCAGAGGATTTGTCACTGATATACAGAAATGCCTTTGATTTATGGGTGTTGATTTTATGTCCTGCCTCTTTGCTGAATTCATTTCCTAGTTCTAGAAGTTTTCTGGTGGAGTTTTTTGAGTCTTCTATGTATAGAATCATATATCATCAGCAAATAGTACTAGTTTAAGTTCTTCTTTTCCTATACTTATTCCTTTTATTTCTTTCGTCTAATTGCTCTGGCCAGTGTTTCAAGAACTATGTTGAATAGAAGTGGTGAGCTAGGGCATTCCTCTCTTGTTCCAGATTTTAGAGGGAACACCTTCAATTTTTCTCCATTTAGAATGATGTTGGCCTGGGACTTAGCATAGAGAGCCTTTATGATGTTGAAATATGTTCCTGTTGTCCCTAGTTTTTCTAGTGTTTTGAACATGAATGGGTGCTGTATTTTGTCAAATGCTTTTTCTGCGTCTATCATATGATTCTTATCTTTAAGTCTATTGATGTGACGAATTATATTTATTGATTTCCGTATGTTGAACCAACCTTTCATCCCTGGGATGAATCCCACTTGATCATGGTGCACAATTTTTTGGATATGTTTTTATATTTGATTTGCCAGAATTTTATTGAGGATTTTTGCATTTATGTTCATTAGAGATATTTGTCTGAAGTTTTTCTTTGAAGTTTGTCTTTGTCTGATTTTGGAATTAGGGTGATATTGGCCTCATAGAATGAGTTTGGAAGTACTCCCTTTTTTTCTATTTCCTAAAATAAATTGAAGAGTATTGATATTAGTTCTTCTTTAAAAGTCTTGTAAAACTCGGATGTTTATCCTTCCAGTCCTGGGATTTTCTTAGTTGGTAGTCTTTTGATGGTTTCTTCTATTTCCATAAATAATGAATATACTGAGGAAATCAAAGGTGTATTAGGTTTAGCTCTGCACCATTAGGGAGCTTCTTTTCTACTAGGAGATAATTCATGAGGCAATATACAAAGTAGATTATTTTGCAGAAAAAAAATGCACTGCATATCTAACCATCAAAAATTTAAAGCCAGGTGCAGTGGAGCATACCTGTAATCCCAGCAATTTTGGAGGCTGAGGCAAGAGGATCACATGTTCCAGGCTAGTCTGGGCAACTTAGTAAGACCCTCTCTTAAAATAAAATAGAAAGGGGTTGAAGATGTAGCCCATTGGTAGATTGATTTCCGTTCAATCCTTAGCATGGAAAAAAAAAAAAAGCATTTCACGTGTCATATGCACCTTTTCAAATTCAAAGAAAAAAGTGACAAAGCTGTTGTAAACATACATATTAATGAAAGCCCCAAATTTGTTCTTTACACCATTTTTCCAACCCTTCAATATGATGATAATTACTTTTGGGGGGAAATATCCTTTAAGATACCCAAGTCATGTTTATAGGTGGAGGGATGATTTTTTTTCAATGACTAATGCTGCACAACAAATAATACTAAACAATGGGAACATTTCAAATACTTAACAGTTGATTAACAATGTTCATCTGATGCTGCAACCTAATGTGATAACAGTACAATATCATATTGTCTAGGATTAGATTTGACTACAGATAACAGAAAAACACAAAAAGAGAATAACTTAAATATGACTTTTTTTTCCATAGTAGCCAGAGACTCAGTCACCTATCTTGTTTTGTCATCCTAAAAATGTCATCTCATGGTCCAAGATAACTACTTAACCTGTAGCCATTACATTTATAGTTCAACCAGCATGTTTTAGAAGACTTCCTGAAATTCATGTATGACACTCCCATTCATAACTCACTGGTTAGAATCTAGTCATGTGGCTAGGGGATGTTGAAAAATGTCAACTTTTATTTAGGTGCATGGCTTCCTGAAATAAAATTTTGTCATTAAGGAGCACGGGAAGAATGGATGTTAGAGTAGGAAATTCATAGATTTTGTCACAAGCTCATACTTATTAAGTCTATGTACTGAGTTGATAAATGGAGAGAGGCATAGTTGATGCTAGAATTTATGAGTGGGATATCTTCAGAGATTATAAATATCTTAAATCTATAAAAATAAAAGTGTTAATTTTAATGGATCTCTTTTTCTGGAAACATTTCTGGAAAGTCACTTACTATGCTTTGTGTCCTGGCACAAATTAATCTCTTTCCAATTCCATTTCTTACTGAAGCTGCCTCACTGTAATGTAGAGTAACTGATTGGATAGATACTACAGAAAGGGAATAATGCCTTTTTGTAGCCATTGCAGCGATATACTGGAATGGGATCAGTGTCCTTGTACCTAATTTTTTCCCCCAAATCATTAAGTTTATTTAGGAATAACAACATTGCAATGGGAATGCATGTGTCAAAGGAAGATACAAGTATAGTCAAGGAGGATAAGATAAGGGAAAATTCTTACAGCAAATTAAGCAGGATACTTGAAACTGTAATCTTGACTACAAGGATCAATGACAATGGTGGCATCAGTCCAAGGTTGAACAGACAGCCAGCCTTTGGACAGATATCCTGATAGAAGCATATTCTGTGTAAGGTCTCAGTGGTTTTTGTGCAAGGTTGTGGTTCTAAGTCTTTTCGTGAATAGATCTTATTATCCGGCACCCATCATCAGGTCAAAGGATAATAAAAATGAGATGCACAAACACATATACAATGGCATTTTACTCAGCCATAAAGAAAAATTAAATTGCCATTTGCAGGTAAATGGATTGAAACTGGAATGTGACATTATACTAAGTGAAATAGTCCAGACTCAGAAAGTCAAGGGTCATGTGTTTTCTCTCATACGTGGAAGTTAGAGAGTCAAATGGAATAAAAAATAATATCTCAGGGAAATCAGTAAAGTAGAGGAAGAAGATCAGGGTAGGGAAGAGGGAAGGGAAAAGGAGGTACTGGGAAATGAAATCAATCAAATTATGTGCATGTATGAATACATTACAATGAATTCCACTCTTATGTATTATTATAATGGAATTAATTTTCAGAAAGTGTTGAACTACCTGTTTGTTAAGCCACTCTTTCTGAAAGTCATCTTCAAATATTTTTGAGCTACAGATGAGACACAGTAAATCAAATAAAAAGAAACATTTTAGGAAGGAGACTACCCATACATAAGGCCTTTGATAAAAATTTTTTAACAATTTTTTTTTGGTAACTGGTATTGAACCCAGGGGTGCTTAATCACTGAGCCATCACATAGTTTTTATTTTTGAGACAGGGTCTCACTAAGTTTCTCAAGGCCTTGCTAAGTTGCTTAGGCTGGCTTTGAACTTGTGATCCTTATGCCTCAGCCTCCCAAGTATCTGGGATTACAGGTGTCTGCCACTGTACCTGATATTTTAAATTTTTAAAAACTTTTTTTATTTTCAGCAGTTTGGGGTTTATAGAAAAATGAGCAGAAGGTACATTATGCCTATATATTCCTGTACCCCCTCTCCCCTATTATAACATCTTGAATTAGTATGGTACATTTGTTATAATTAATGAGCCAATATTGATACATTATTATTAACTAAAGTTCATAGTTTACATTAGGATTTACTCTATGTTGTACATTCTATAAGCTTTGACAAATAATGATATGTTTCTACTAGTATCATACAGAATAGTTTGACTGCTCTAAAAATCACCCATGTTCCATTTATTTATCCCTCCTTCTCTCCCTCCAATCCAATTCCCAGACAGTCACTGTTCTTTTTACTTTCTTCATACTTTTGCCTTTTACAGAGTGCTATATAGTTGGGATCATATGGTAGAATAAAGTTTCTACATTGTGGGCCCAGGCAGAAAGAGGCTTAATCCTCAGTGTAAAACAAGCTCTTTTCATCCCTGGAATGCCCACCTAACTCTTTCCTATTTGGGAAAAAAAATAGAAAACCTCCTCTTCTAGATTACTCATACTCCCTCAAGTAACATCCTATCTATCTTCTTTGAATAGCCAAATTTTTTTATTCTGTTTTCTCCATCCTCATTAACTTCTCAACACACTCCAATCTGCTTCTGTCTTCTCTGTTAAAACAAAACAGCTCTTGTTAAGATCATCAGTGCCACTCAGACATCCATGTTATGAAATCCAATAAACACATTTCATTGTTCATCTTACTTGACTATTAAAACAATATCCAGCACCATTAACCACTCAATTTTATTTGGAAC